TTCTTGGCAGGGGGTTGGACTGGATGGCCCATGAGGTCTCTTCCAACTCTTTGATTCTCTGATTCTATGATCCTTTTAACTGGAGAAGCCAGGAGGTATATCTCAGGCTTTTTGGATTGGACCGCATGCCTTCGGTCAGTGAGTTTAGGCCCCTTACTTCAGTCTTGCTCATGTCGCTTACAGGTGATATCTACTGAATTCAAGGCCGTGATGAGACATGATGGCTATGTAGAAATACAAAATATTTTACATTAATATTTATTAAAAACTTGCGAAACAGCGAGTCCGCAAAAAGCAAACCACGAAGCGAGGGAACACTATATCTGAGGGGAAGTCATGAGGAGGCAGGAGCAAGCTTATTTTCTGCTGCCCTGGAGACTAGGACAAGGAACAATGGCTTCAAACTACAAGAAAGGAGATTCCACCTGAACATTAGGAAGAACTTCCTGACTGAAAGAGAGCTGTTCAGCAGTGGAACTCTCTGCCCTAGAGTGTGGTGGAGGCTCCTTTGGAGGCTTTTAAACAGAGGCTGGATGGCCATCTGTTGGGGGTACTCTGAATGCAATTTTCCTGCTTCTTTGCAGAGGGTTGGATTGGATGTCCCATGAGGTCTCTTCCAATGATTCAAGGTAAGCACACTGTACCTAAAATCATGAGCAAAGTGGCCATCAAGATGTTCAAAGAAGAACACGGTGGAAAATGGAAGCAGGCATCTCCCCACACTCCTCCATGAATATTCATAAGCACAAAACAGTTTGGAATTGTACATTAAAACCTTTCGTTTCCATCGCTGAAAATCTTGTGATAAGCGCTAAGCTGTGTGCCATCAAAGGGCTTTATGAATAAAAGCAGAGATGCGTATAAGAATTATGAGATGTTCAAAGGGCACAAAATCTTATGTCTCTTTAATTAGCAACGGGGAAAGAAATATTGTGTTTTCGGGGGAGAAATGACACATCTTTGCCATGGCGTGGCTTGTTGTCAATACTGGGCCCTCCCATCCTCCTCCTTGTAGTATGTGTTTCGTGATACAACACAACATTAAAGCGTCAATAAAGTCTTTAGCAGCTGTCAGATGGTTCCCAGTGTCTTTCTCAAGATGACGATGAAGGAAGCAATAGCAGGCTTTTCAAGCTGTACTTCAACAGATTATGAACTACAGTACTATAATCTTTTTAGGTTTCTTTACTTCCTTTGTTTCATCTGGTTCTAATTCCTCTTTCAGTTCTTCATCAGGTTGGGGTTTCACAATTTCAACAGAAGTGAGGAAGAGATAAGTGTTCCCATTGTGGTAACATAATGCGATTCAAAAGTGAATCTCTCTCAAGCCCAGGAATAGACAAACAGGCATTTTGGAATGAATCCTCCATAATCCCTTATCATTAGTTGAGGATGTAGGGAACTATAGTACGGAGTGTGACTGTCAAGCACAGGCTTGATTGGGACCAATTGGAAATCATCCTGGAATTTCCAGGTACAAAATATAAGTGCATTTTCTGGATAACAAGGGAAATGAAAAAACTTGCTCCATCCTCATGGCCAAAGAGAGCTAGAAGAAAATACAAAGTCTGTCACTGCATCCACGTATTCTCCCTCTGTTTGCCAGTTATTGATCAGTCCGGTTGCCATAATCTTGTTTTATTTAATGTTTCACTGCAACTCAGCTTTTGTATTTGCTTTTTTCACCTTGGTTAAAAGGCTCCTCAGCTCCTATTCACTTTCAGCCATCAAAGTGGTATCATCTGCATATCTAAGGTTGTGTGGTGCAAGTGGCGCCACCTATATGTAGAACTGTTAGTTGCAAGATTTAAACTGTTGTATCATGCTTAATCCTGCCTTTTTACCCTGCCTATGCATAGTTGGATTGATTGGTTATTTATAGCTGTCAATCAATGTTGTTTGCACCAGTTATATTGCTGCCTCAGCTCAATTGTTTGGCTCCACCTCTTCCTGGTGGGAGTGCTTTCCTTTTCCATTCCACCATCAGAATTTCTATCAGATGGACATGAGAAAGAGACTTGGCTCTAAAAGCCCTTGATTAAGTTACCTCCAGCAAAGGATCACCGCCTTGTCGGGGCGCTGGAGCTTGAGCACCTCAATGATGTCATGAGCGAAACCGTGAAGGGCCACCCAAGACGGGACGGTTGTGGCAGAGAGGTCAGACCAAGCGTGATCCCTGGGGAAGGCAATGGCAAACCACTCCAGTATCCTTGCCAAGAAAACTAAATGGACCAGTACAACCAGAGATATGTCGGTATGCCATTGGAAGATGGGACTCCCAGGTCGGAAGATGGCCAAAATGCTACTGGGGAGGAGCAGAGGATAAGTTCAACTAGCCCCAGATGTGATGACGCAGCTAGCTCAAAGCTGAAAGGAAGGCTAGCGGCCGACGGTACTGGAGGCGAACGACGAATCCGATGCTCTAAAGATCAACACACCATAGGAACCTGGAATGTAAGATCTATGAGCCAGGGCAAATTGGATGTTGTTACCTTGAGCGAGCTGGGGGTGGTAACGGCCGACAGAGAGCTCTGGCGTGGGCTGGTCCATGAGGTCACGAAGAGTCGGAGACGACTGAACGAATGAACAACAACAAAGTTACCTCTCAGCACCAATTCTAAGGTTCTTACCCTTGAGACTTATGCTTCATGTTCAGATCAACCTGGATGACACTGAGAAGTCTCAAGCGCCTTCAGACCAGTTCTTTGGCACCAGAGGAAGGCTTAGTCCCTTCAAAATATAGGCCATTGGAATTGGGGTTTTGATTATTCCGATATTCACAGCCATTGAGAAAGAGGGACCTGGAAATGCTTCTCAGCTGCAAAACTCCTTGGACCCAAGACAACCAGAGACTGTAATGTATATTTTCCTTTACCCCTTTGAAACTTCCAGCTTATTGCCTTAAAGGGATACCTCTTTGTGAACAATTAAACTTATTTTGAGTTATCTACAGTGTTTTGCTCTTTGGGAGTTCCAGTTTCCTAAAGGACGGCAAGAAGCAATCCCCTGGGGGAAAGATGTCACGTCCATGCCTCTTTCACTAAGAGTTATAGCCCCCGGGCACGATGGCACAGGTTGTTAATGTTTTGTCCAGCAATTTTAATTCCAGCCATGGATTCGTCAAGCCCTGTATGTCACATGATGTGTTCTGCATACAAGTTGAATAGGTTGGGTGAGAGTAAACAGCCCTGCCGTACGCCTTTCCCAATCTTGAACCAGTCTGTTCCATGGTCAGTTACGACTGTTGCTACTTGGTTGTTATACAGATTCCTCAGGAGACAGACAAGGTGACTTGGGATCCCCATACCACCAAGAACTTGCCACAATTCTGATATAAGATAAGTTACTGTTTTGGGCAACAACTTCCAGAATCCACCAGCTAGTAACTTATCCCAAATTCTGTAATTGCCACCAAGATCCATCTCATTCTATTTTCAGCAGCTGCCACCCAGCTGGTGCCTCTTAGCCGTGGACTGTGGGCAATCCTCTACTATACTATGCACATTTGGGTCCGTGGCAATTCTTTGGCACTGCCTTCTTTTCAAGCTGTTTGGTTCTCCCCACCTCATCCTCCCAGTCGTCCTCCCCCTCACTTTTGCATCTGAACTATGCCATCAATTTGAAATGTAGTCTGAACTGTTATCCCTGCCTGCAAAATGTAATTTGATTCCTTCTGCCTCTTACTGTTTGATGAGAACCCTTTGTATTTTCATGCTTTAATACAATCTGGCACATAATTACCAGTGACTCACCGATAATCTCAGTCATGGAGCTCTCTGAAATTAGATGATAATTTTGCCTGGAATTTGTGTAACAAGAAGGAAGAGAAGAAGACTTATAATTATTCCAAAAAGATCCTCTCCTCTCTCTGTCCATCTAACCCTCTTTTCCCTTTTCCAAGGAGATGCTCTGCAAGCTGTCAGAGGCCAAGAAGTCTTTAAACCCCTTTTGCCTGTCACTCTGTACCAGGAAAACGGAGGATGATCTCTGTACATTTTCATCCGCATACAATTGTCTGTAATTGCTACTGACAGATGGGAGTGGATTTGGAGGAGGGGGAATCTCAGTAAACCAGACCTGGGCAGCTCTGCTTCATTGGCGATAAACAAGACAAACACAGAATTAGGAACCAGTTGCAAATAACAAGTTACTTGTAATCAGTTCCTCATGCCAATAACTCCATCACATTATACTTATGATAAAAAGGGATAATTTCAATGTATTGTCGAAGGCTTTCATGGCTGGAATCACTGGGTTGTTGTAGCTTTTTTCGGGCTATATGGCCATGTTCTAGAGGCATTTTCTCCTGACGTTTCACCTGCATCTATGGCAAGCATCCTCAGAGGTAGTGAGGTCTGTTGGAACTAGGAAAAAGGGTTTATATATCTGTGGAATGACTAGGGTGGGACAAAGGACTCTTGTCTGCTGGAGCTAGGTGTGAATGTTTCAACTGATCACTTTGATTAGCATTTGATTCCCTGGCAGTGCCTGGAGCAATCTTTTGTTGAGAGATGATTAGATGTCCTTGTTTGTTTCCTCTCTGTTGTTGTACTGTTATAATTTTAGAGTTTTTTTAATACTGGTAGCCAGATTTTGTTCATTTTCATGGGATAATTTCATTCCTCTGATGGCATATTTGAGTTACTTTTGTAATTTTGAATTTATGATTGTTATAGATCAGCATTTCTCAACCTGGGAGTCGGGATTCCTGCGGGGAGGGGGGGGTGTCATGAGGGGGTGTCAAAGGGGTCACCAAAGACCATCAGAAAACACAATATATCCTGTTGATCATGGAGGTTCTGTGTGGGAAGTTTGGCTCATTCCTAAGGTGAACATGCTGCAGTTTAGCGCATTGGACTTCACTCCCAGAATTCCTCGCCATTGGACAAGCTGGCTAGAAATATAGAATCATAAGAGTTGGGAAATACCCCATGGGACATCTAGTCCAACCCCCTGCCAAGAAGCAGGAAAATCACATTCAAAGTACCCCCAACAGATGAACTCTACGTGGGGTTGCCTCTGAAGACNCTTCTTGGCAGGGGGTTGGACTGGATGGCCCATGAGGTCTCTTCCAACTCTTTGATTCTATGATTCTTCTGTCTTGTTTTGTATAGAATGAATAGAACTTCATTTTATTTCTAGTTAAATAGAAAGACTAATGAGTTATTTTTATCGCACTTGGGAGTTAAAAACGGCTAAGTCATTACGTGGGCTACTAGCGCTGACAGAAATGTCGTGCTACCAACAGGACAAGTTTGGAAAGCTGGTTTAGGGTGCCTACCACTTTAAATCCGGTAGCAGCCTCCTGCAGAATTTTGGGGATGTAGTTCAGGGAGGGGCCTTTGACATTCTCAACCCGTGAGGTCCTGGGCGGCCTTAAACTACAAGCCCCAGAATTCTGCAGGAGGGAGGCCGCCACAGGATTTAAAGTGGTATGCCCGGTTTTTGAAGTGTACTTCGTTGAGAACCTATCCCTTTCCAACAGGCTCTGCAAGGGGCTTCTGCCTCACCTGTAGCCGCTGAGGAGGTCCCCAGAAGACCCCGGACCCAGAGCGCGGCCCAAGCACCGCCAAGCCGCCTCCGCAGGCCTCCCGTCGAGGCCGAAGCCCACCCGCGCCCAGTGCTGCTCCAGGACCTGGAGGAAGGCGCCACCGCTGCACTCCCGCTCAGGGACAGAAGCCTCCTCCATGCGCGCGCCTTTCCAAACCCCAAGCCCCGCCCCGCTGACGTCACTGCAACTGCGTAGTCAGGCCTGCAAGGGGGCGGGGCTTCTCCGCTCTTGCCGGAAACGCGTCACCGACTGCGGAAGATAGCCAGCCACTTCCAAAGGTCATGATCCTCCTCGTGGCTGTTGACTTATTGAGGGAGAAACAAACAAATTCCAAAATGTCTGTTTCTTGGGCTCTCTAGTTCCACGAATATAAAGATTTTGCAACACAATTCTTGTTTTGTTTCAATGTTTTGTTAACACTTTTTAAAAGGAAGAAAAACACAAAGAAAAACAACAAATCCTTAAAAACAACAATGACACATCATTGGGTTGTTGTAGGTTTTTTTCGGGCTGTATGGCCATGGTCTAGAGGCATTCTCTCCTGGTTCAATTCCATTGTTGGTGGGGTTCAGAATGCTCTTTGATTGTAGGTGAACTATAAATCCCAGCAACTACAACTCCCAAATGACAATGCCTCTAGACCAGTGATGGGCAACCTTTTGAGCTTGGTGTGTCAAAGTTCACCAAAAAGCAAGCGTTACTTGGGTGGGGTGTCACTTGGAGAAAAAAACCCTATAATTTTGCGATATTTCTAGTTTAAATAACAAAAATGTATAATCTATATATATAAATGATCTGTGCATAATGAGTAACTTAAAAGCAAAAGAACCAATGAACGAAATCACACCAAATTTGGCAACAAAACGTCTCACAACACGAGTGACCATCACTCAAAAATTTATGATTTTGTCATTTGTAGTTGCTGGGACTTATAGTTCATCTATAATCAAAGAGCATTCCAAACGCTACCAAGGATGGAATTGAACCAAACGTGGCACACAGGACTCCCCTGACCAAGAGAAAACACTAGAAGTGTTTGGTGGGCATTGACCTTGAGTTTTGGAGTTGTAGTTCACCTACATCTAGAGAGCACTATGGACTCAAACAATGATGGATCTGGACAAACTTGACAGGACCTGGCCTAACTTGACATGAGTAATATGACCAAATGTGAACACAGATGGAGTTTGGGGAAAATAGATCTTGACACTTGGGAGTTGTAGTTACTAGGATGTATAGTTCACCTACAATCAAAGAGCATTCTGAACCCCACCAACGATGGAATTGGGCCAAACATTCCACACAGAACCACCATGACCAACAGAAAATACTGTGTTTTCTGGTGGTCTTTGGTGACCCTTCTGACAACCCCTGGTGACTTCCCAGATTGAGAAATGCTGCCTTAAGACCATCCAGTCCAACTCCCTTCACCAGGGCAAGAAAACATAATCTAAGCCCTCCTGACAAAGGGCCATCCAGCCATCCACACACACACACATATGTATATGACAGACGCAGTATCAAAGATTTGAAAGGGACCTCTAAAGAAGAACAATGATATGTTTCAAGTTTCAGAGTAGGCAAACCAGGCAATCTCCACATCAACACTGGCAAAGGAACAGCAAGAAATACCGTTTAACCACAAGCATAAAGAAATTACATATATTAGAAGCCAACACTTTCTCATTATTTTCCAGATCACCAGACTGGGCCACAGCAACGTGTGGCAGGGAAATTGCACCCGTAACTCAGACTCTTGCCTCTCCCAGTTCCCTCCTCCCCTCACTTTTCTCAGTAATGATGGTCATTTAGAAATCCACAACACCCCAGAACAGTAAATTGGATGATGGTTGCTGTGATTATGTGGTTGCTGGTTGCCCCAGAGATGTGTACCCCACAGCATTCTGCTGCTCCCTGCTACCCCAGCCGGAAGTGAGGCCAAAGATTCCCTAACGGCCTAACTGGAAGTTCCAGAACTAGACGCTAAACAACTGCAAATGTTTTATCCTCGGCTTCTGCACCTGGCCATGCAGGAGCCAAGGATTAAATGTCCTTGGGATGCAGACCCAAACTTCTCTGTATGCAGCAGCATGCAGCCACGTGTCATCAAAAATGTCTATGCGTGTCAATGTTGACATGCGTGTCATAGGTTCGCCATCATGGCTCTAGACCCGTGGTGGTGAACCTATGACATGCGTGTCAGCACTGACACACATGGCTATTTTTGATGACACGCGGCCACATGCAGCCGCATACAGAGAAGTACGCCTTATAAGAGCCAATCTAATTCCATCCTTAAATTTGTAAAAGGCTCCAGAAATTTAACATCTGCATGTTTGAGCATTGTTCACTCCATAACTCAGCATGGAATATATATTTTTCTTATTTAAACTATAAATATTGCAAAACTACGTTTATTTTTTCTCAAAGTTGACACCCCACCCAAGTTATGGTCAGGTTTTTGGCAAATTTTGACACACCAAGCTCAAAAGGAGCTTCCGGGGAGGCCCTGCTCTCGATCCCGCCTGCTTCTCAAGCACGGCTGGCGGGGATGAGAGATAGGGCCTTCTCGGTGATGGCTCCTCGGCTGTGGAACGCCCTTCCTACAGACATTAGACTAGCACCATCTCTAATGGTATTCCGCAAAAAAGTGAAGACCTGGCTGTTTGAGCAGGCGTTTGAATAATTAGAGCAATGATTGGTTAATGAACATACAAACATTTCTGAGTAGGAGCTGGTTGACTTCTTCAACATTGTGGAACTCTCTGCCCCGGAGTGTGGTGGAGGCTCCTTCTTTGGAAGCGTTTAAACAGAGGCTGGGTGGCCATCTGTCAGGGGTGATTTGAATGCAATATTCCTGCTTCTTGGCAGGGGGTTGGACTGGATGGCCCATGAGATCTCTTCCAACTCTTTGATTCCATGATTCTATGGCCAGTGTTAGGTTGTTCCTCCAAAAATAATGCTATTGGAGACTCCACTCTCTCCAAAGGAATAAGATAGCCCAGGTTAGAGGAAAGAAAGGCAAGCAGCCTTTTCCCAGGCCATTCTGAAAAGTGCTGGCCTGGGAGAGTGTGAAGGGGTTAAGCCTCATGTGACAAGAAGGAATGCTTCCAAAGCTCTGTGGAAATGGGAGAGGCAAAGCAGAGGCACAAGGGGCGGGAATTAAGTTCTTCTCCACCCTTTTCCGTAAGTCCCTTTTTTCAGTTTGGCTTCCTGTTCTCTAAGGATTGCGAGACAAGCAAGTTTCACTCTCTTCCCTTTTCCAAGGAGGGCTTCTGCTCGCAGATGTGAGGAACAGGCTGGCCAAACTATGGCCCCCCTGGGGCTGTTCCCAGTTGTGATGAGTCTGGTAAGTGGGAAGCCTGGGGAAGGGGGCAGAAGGACCCCTTGGGAATCTTTCTGGGTTGTCTTCAGAACTTGGGACAGTTTTCCTATGGGCCTCCTACTCCTAGGGCCTTCCAGCCAGTCTGGCCAAGCTGGAGTCTGGCCAAGCTGGAGGCCATAGGGCCGTGCTTCCCAGCTCCTCTTCCAGAGAGAAGGAAGGAAGACACAAGTCAAAGTAGGGGGTGCTGGGAAGACACGGCCCATCTATGGAGCAGCCTCCCTTGGTCTGGCAGGGCACAAAGTTGCCTTCCCTGTTGGTTGACTCATCCTCTTCCGGAGTCGAAGGCAGTGTTTTGCACTGCTTTATGTAAACTCTTTCCACCCTTGAGCCTGTTGTGTATTTTCTGTTGTGTGTGGCTATCATGTTCGTTTTTTCACCACAGTGGATCACTTAAGAAATTCTGATTTCTCTTTCCATTTCAACATCGGCTTTTCTGATCTCCTCCTCGTGCTGCCTTCAGCCCTCTTGCTAACTATCTGGGCTCCATTTTAGATGTTGGTTTAGCAGTTTATTCAGGTCCAACCAGCGTGGCCAGGTAGAGGGATAATGGGAGTTGTAGCCCAACAATGTCTAGAAAGACAGCAATTTCCTGCTCCTGCTCTGCTAGTTACATAATGTCTAATTAACTTTTTGTGTGTTTTAGTTTTTGAAACTATTTAATTAAATCTATCTAGGGCAGTGGTTCCCAACCTTCCTAATGTCACGACCCCTTAATACAGTTCCTTATGTTGTGGTGACCCCCAACCACAACATTATTTTCATTGCTACTTCACAACTGTAATTTTGCTCCTGTTATGAATCATCTTGTAAATATTCGATATGCAGGATGTATTTTCATTCATTCGGCACAAATACTCGATACACCCAAATTTGAATTCTGGTGGGGTTGAGGGGAGGATTGATTTTGTCATTTGGGGGTTGTAATTACTGGGATTTATAGTTCACCTACAATCAAAGAGCATTCTGAACTCCACCAATGATGAAATAGGAACCAAACTTGTCACACAGAACTCCCATGACCAACAGAAAATACTGGAAAGGTTTGGTGGGCACTGACCTTGAGTTTTGGAGTTGTAGTTCACCTACATCCAGAGGTCACTGTGGACTCAAACAGTGATGGACCTGGACCAAACTCTACACGAATACTCAATATGCCCAAATGTGAACACTGGTGGAATTTGGGGAAAATAGATTCTTGACATTTGGGAGTTGTAGTTGCTGGGGTTTATAGTTCACCTACAATCAAGAGCATTCTGAACTCCACCAACGATGGAATTGAACCAAACTTGGGCACACAGAACTCCCATGACCAACAGAAAATACTGGAAGGGTTTGGTGGGCATTGACTTTGAGTTTTGGAGTTGTAGTTCACCTACATCCAGAGAGCACTGTGGACTCAAACAATGATGGATCTGGACCAAACTTGGCACGAATACTCAATATGCCCAAATGTGAACACTGGTGGAGTTTGTGGGAAATAGATCTTGACATTTGGGAGTTGTAGTTGCTGGGATTTATAGTTCACCTACAATCAAAGAGCATTCTGAACTCCACCAATGATGGAATTGAACCCAACTTGGGACACAGGACTCCCATGACCAACAGAAAATACTGGAAAGGTTTGATGGGCATTGACCTTGAGTTTTGGAGTTATAGTCCACCTATATTCAGAGAACACTGTGGACTCAAACAATGATGGATCAGGACCAAACTTGGTACGAATACTCAATATGCCCAAATGTGAACACTGGTGGAGTCTGGGGGAAATAGATCTTGACATTTGGGAGTTGTCGTTGCTGGGATTTATAGTTCACCTACAACCAAAGAGCATTCTGAACTCCACAAATGATAGAATTGGGCCAAACTTCCCACACAGAATCCCCATGACCAACAGAAAATACTGTGTTTTCTGATGGTCTTTGGTGACACCACCTTGCGACCCTCCCCAGGGGTCCCGACCCCCAGGTTGAGAAACGCTGATCTAGGGCAAGAGCCAATCACTAATGGCCTCCAAACCAGGTTCAGTCTTCTAAGGGGGTACTGTTGTGGTGTTTAGTTCTTCTCAGACTGGCTGATATGTGTATCCAGTCATGTTTTTTGCCCTCATGAGATCAGTATCATATTTGTGTTTTTGGCAATAATTGTTTCTTTCTTGGCAACACATCATGGACTGGCATCAGTTGAGGAATTGCCATTTGGAGTAGAATGGTTGTGGGCTGAACTGCTATTGTTATTAACGGCTGCAGGGTCGACTTTGACTTGTAGCAACCCCATGAGTGAGAGACCCCCAAGTTATCCTACCCTCAACGGTCTTGCAAACTTAGGGGGCTGGCTTCCTTGATCCAGTTTATCCATCTAAAATGTGGTCTTCCTCTTTTCCTACCGCCTTCTATCATACATGTGTATGTTTGATCCACAAAGACTCCTATGTGGTTTGATGGATCTGGATAAAACTTGTCACGTATACCCTTCATTATCTAACTAAAAACAATTGGGGGGTTTTGTGGGGGGAGGCTAATAAAGGATTATGGGAGTTGTGGTCAACCCACATCTGAACAGCTATGTGAATCCCATCAATGGTGGATCTAGACTACATTTGGCACACGTGTCCATCAAGAACAAATTAAAATACTGGCAGGGTTCAGATGGAATTCATAGAGGATGATGAGAGTTTACCCACATTTAGAGAGCTGTGTGTATCCCACCCATGATGACTGGACAAATCTTGAAACACATGTCCTTCATGTTCCAACTTAAAATACTGGACACGTGGGGGATTGACAGAGGATGATAGGAGTTGTAGTCCACCCCCACATCTGGAGAGCTTTGTCTAGCTGTTGAAAATCTGGACTAGTTTGGTACACATACCCTTCATGATCCATTTTAAAATACTGGCAAGGTGAAGGGGTATGATAGGGGATGATGGGAGTTCAAATCCAGCCGCATCTTTAAAGCCGCATAAGTATCACTCATGGCCAAAGGCATGCCTCTCCACCTGACTGATTAGATGGCTTACCCTATTTGCCAACCTGCATCTCTCAATATCTTTACTCCATCACTACACAGCCTGGGGACAATGGGAATTGCACCCCAACCCAACAAAAATGCTAACCCATCTAACCAGTTAGGAGCAGACCCTTAACTTCCTCCCACCCTGATCTTGGGCTAACGGGAGTCCAATACCAGATAGATCTGGGACTAATGGAAACTCCACTCTGCCAAATCTGGGTAATGGGTGCTTCAGCTGGCCAGATCAGGACCTGATGAAAGTTGCAGCCTGAACAGATACTGGCTGATGGGAGTTGTACCATATCATCTGTATGATTTTAGATCTGGTCCTGTTTTATGGTTATGCATTTTCTAATCTATAAAATACAAAGCCAAACAATGACTTTTTCTAATAAATAGTTTTACAAAATACGTGATATATGCAACGCTGGGTATATATACTAAGTAAAGGTTTTCCCCTGACATTAAGTCCAGTGGTGTCTGACTCTAGGGTTTGGTGCTCATCTCCATTTCTAAGCCAAAGAGCCGGTGCTGTCTGTAGACACCTCCAAGGTCATGTAGCCAGCATGACTGCATGGAGCGCCGTTACCTTCCCGCCGGAGCGGTACCTATTGATCTACTCACATTTGCATGTTTTCGAACTGCTAGGTTGGCAGAAGCTGGGGCTGACAGCAGAAGCTCATGCTGCTCCCCAGATTTGATCCTGCAACCTTTCGGTCAACAATCTCAGCAGCTCACGCTTTAACCCGCTGCACCACCGGGGTGCAGTCATCTATAAAAAATTAACTATTTTCTTATGAATTTTTTGGTGGGCTCTATTATTCAACATATGTTTGCAATGGGATCACTACTGCTTCTTCAGACATATGATATTTCTTACTTCATATATGATTAAAAATCATATATGAAGACTTATGAGGATCAGTTTGCATCGGAAGTTAAGGCAATAGTCCTGTGCATACTTTAATCCCTTCTGTCCCCTTTCTTGGTGATTGGATTGTGTATTGAGTATTTCCAGTTGTTTGTTTTCCATATTTGTTTTTGGTTAGAACAAGAGTAGAGACTCTCTCTGTAAACGAAAGCATCTCTTTTGGTATACCATCTATTCCAGGTGATTTATTTATCCCAAATGCTCTGAGTGCAGCTTCCACTTTATGAATTTAGAGATGTGTTTTCATATGCTGCTTCTTTGAATGACTCTGTCACCCTTTAATCTCTCTTACATAGATTTCTGAGTCCTTTTTATTTCTATTGGGTCATTCCCTACTTGTCATAGAGTGTTCCCCACTCTTGGTTTAAATTTCCCTTTGATTTCTTGTGGAAGAGGTCTCTTGTTCTTTTTCATTTTCATCTATTTTTTGCATTGATAATCACAATATTTTTTCTGTTCATACCTACAAGTCGTACAATTGCAGATAAGGTTCTGACTCTATTTTTGTCACTTTTTGCTTCTAATCTCTCCATAAGTCTTTTTATTGATCATTCACTGAGTCTTCTCTTTGGGTGCATCTGCACTGTAGAATGAATGCAACTTGATATCACTTTAACTGCCATGGCTTATTGCTATAGAATCATGGGATATGTAGTTTTCCAAGGCCTTTAGCTTTCGCTGCCAAAGAGTGCTAGTCCCGCCCAGAATTCCATTGCTTTGAGCCAGAGGAGGGCGACTAAAATGATCAAGGGTCTGGAGAACAAGTCCTATGAGGAGCGGCTTAAGGAGCTGGGCATGTTTAGCCTGAAGAAGAGAAGGCTGAGAGGAGATATGATAGCTTTATGTAAGTATGTGAGAGGAAGTCACAGGGAGGAGGGAGCAAGCTTGTTTTCTGCTTCCTTGGGGACTAGGATGCGGAACAATGGCTTCAAACTACAAGAGAGGAGATTCCATCTGAACATGAGGAAGAACTTCCTGACTGTGAGAGCCGTTCAGCAGTGGAACTCTCTGCCCCGGAGTGTGGTGGAGGCTCCTTCTTTGGAAGCTTTTAAACAGCGGCTGGATGGCCATCTGTCAGGGGTGATTTGAATGCAATATTCCTGCTTCTTGGCAGGGGGTTGGACTGGATGGCCCATGAGGTCCCTGTTGAACTTCATTTTGTTAGTTTTGGCCAATCATCTCTCTAATCTGTCAAGATCGTTTTGGATCCTGCTCCTGTCCTCTGGAGTATTGGCTATCCCTCCCAATTTGGTGTCGTCTGCAAACTTGATGATCCTGCCTTCTAACCCTTCATCTAAGTCATTAATAAAGATGTTGAACAGGACCGGGCCCAGGACGGCACCCTGCGGCACTCCGCTCGTCACTTCTTTCCAAGATGAAGA